GCAGCTAGCCAGCAGCTAGCCAGCAGCTAGCCAGCAGCTAGCCAGCGGCGCTGACCATCTCGGTGCCCGGGGGCAGCAGCACGGCGGCGGGGACGTGCGCCGTGCGGAGAAAGAGCTGCGGGCGGTAGGCCGAGAAGAAGGGTTTGCTGCGGCCGCCCTCTTCGCCGCGCAGCACCAGCAGTTCGCTTTTGAAGCGCATGCAGCCCCGCAGCCCGCCGCCGCTCAGCACCATCCCCCGCCGCAGCTCTTCGCGCCGCGCGCCCTTCACCAGCACGCCCACCTGCGTCGCGCCGCACTGGGCACTTTCCGGGCCTTTCCGGGACTCTTAAGGGCTTTTAGGGACTTTTCGGGACTTTTTGGGACTCTTAAGGGCTTTTAGGGACTTTTAGGGACTTTTTGGGACTTTTTGGGACTTTTTGGGACTTTTTGGGACTTTTAGGGACTCTTAAGGGCTTTTAGGGACTTTTCGGGACTTTTTGGGACTCTTAAGGGCTTTTAGGGACTTTTAGGGGTTTTGAGGGGTTTGGGGATGCAGTTCTGTTTAGGGAGAGTTTAAGGGAGTTTCAGGGAGTTCGGGCGGAGGGACAGAGCTAGCTGGCTAGCTAGCTGGCTAGCTAGCTGGCTAGCTAGCTAGCTAGCTAGCTATGGCTATCTAGGCGTCTATCGGTCGAGTCGAGCCCCCCCCAGCTAGCTGTCCACCCATGCGCCCAGCCAGCCAGCCAGCTAGCCAGCTAGCCAGCTAGCTGGCTAGCTGGCTGGCTGGCTGGGCGGAGCCAGCTAGCCAGCTAGCCAGCTGGCTAGCTAGCTAGCCAGCCAGCGCGCGCACCTGGTCGCCGGCAATGGCCTCGGAGAGGGTCTTGCGGAAGGTCTCGAGGGCCCCCACGACGAGCTTCTGGCCGCGGGGGGCCCCCAGGCCGACGAGCTCGAGGCTCATCCCCGGGCGCAGAGTGCCCTGCTCCAGCCGCCCGGTGACCACCGTGCCCTTGCCTGCATGCGCCAGTGGACCACTGGACCACTGCGCCTCCGCGGCTCGTTCGGCGGGCCTCGTGGCCCTTTCGAGGGGCACAATGTGGGGATTTGGAGGGGCACAATGTGGGGATTTGGAGGGGCATTATGGGCCCTTTCGAGGGGCATTATGGGCCCTTTAGAGGGGCATTATGGGCCCTTTAGAGGGGCATTATGGGCCCTTTGGAGGGGCATAATGTGGGGATTTGGAGGGGCATTATGGGCCCTTTGGAGGGGCACTACGTGGGCCCTTTGGAGGGGCATAATGTGGGCCCTTTGGAGGGGCCCGGGGGCGTTTGAAGAGGACCAGTGGACCATTTGAAGGGACCAGTGGACCATTTGAAAGGGGACAGTGGTGTGTTTGAGGTTGGGGGAGGTGTGGGGTGGGGAGTTGGGATCGTGGGATCGTGTTCGTTGAGGTGGTTTGAAGTGTTGAGTGGAGTTGTTTTGGAGCCTTATTTAGAGAGAATGGACGAGCTGAAGAAGTGACCAGTGGTCCACTGGGACTTGGAGTTGGGATCGTGGGATCGTGGGGAGGTTTTGGCAGAGACCAGTGGATCACTCCGCGGCAAAGAAGGAAAAGAAAGGATTATTTGGAGAAGACGGAGGGACACAAAAGGGGAAATGAAATCAAATGGACCACTGGTCACCTTCAAAGAAAATGAAGTTAAATAGACCACTGGTCACCTTCAAAGAAGAAGGAAAAGGGGAGTGGAGATGCGAAGGAGATTGGGAAACAAAAAGGGATCAAGTGGAGATTGAAAGAAGAAAAGAAAATAATTAAAAAGCGATAAAAAGAGAATTAAAAGGAGAAAAAAGAGAACTTAAAAGGAGATAAAAAGAGAACTTAAAGGGGATAAAAAGAGAATTAAAAGGAGATAAAAAGAGAATTTAAGAGGGGATAAAAAGAGAATTGAAAGGGGGTAAAAAGAGAATCAAGAGGGGACAAAAAAGGGACCTGAAGGAGACAAAAAAGAGACTTGGAAGAAACAAAAAGGGACAAAAAAGACAAAAAAGAGATATAAAAGAGATATAAAAGAGCCATGAAAGAGGCAAGAAAGCGGTAAAATAAGATAAAAAAGGGATTAGATTTAAAAAAATTTAAAAAAAATTAAAAAACGATTAAAAAAGGATTGAAAAAAGATTAAGAAAAGATTGAAAAGATCAAAAAGATTAAAAGTGAAGAGAGACCTGGAATGGAGAGGACCTGGTCGATGGGCAAAATGACCGGGAGGGAACATTTCCGTTCGGGCTCAGGAATGTACTCATCACAAGCCTGAACAAACAAACAAGTAATAAATAAATAAGTACTAAATAATAAAAAACAATGAATAGCAAATAAACAAATAAATAATTAACAAGTAAATAATAAATAAATAATAAGTGGGAAGGCGAAAGAAAGAGACTGCAGAAAAATCGGCGCCAGATAGGAGCAGCAGCAGCAGCAGCAGGAAACGCACGTGGGCGAAAACAGCAGCAAACAGCGCAGCAGAAAGCGGCGAAGCCGGGGACGGCGCTGCAGCAGCAGCAGTAGCAGCAGCAGCAGCAGCAGCAGCAAAAGGAGAAAAGAAGGAAAAGCAAAAGTAAATGGAAAACGGACATCCAAAAGCTTCTTCACCGCAGGCACTCCGTACTCCCCAGGGTCTCCTTCGAGGGCCTTCAGCGCAGAGCCCCTTATGAAGGGAGTCTTCTCCCCCTCGTACCCGTACAGCGACAGCAGCTCCCGCACCTGCGCAGCAGCAGCAGCAGCAGCAGCAGCAGCAGCAGCAGCAGCAGATGAGCAGCAGGGGAGGAGCGCTTCGCTTCGCGAGCGGCAGCAACGCCACGCAGCGCAGCGCAGCAGAGGGATGAGGAGAAGCAGCAAGGACCGCGCAGCAGCAGCAGGAGCAGCAGCAGGAGCAGCAGCAGGAGAGCGGCAGCCCTTGCGCTGGCTGCTTGTTGAACTCGAGTTCGCACCTCGAGCTCCACAAGCTCGACGAGCTCCAAGTCCTCGACCACATCCATTTTGTTCAAAAACACCACCAGCCGGGGCACCCCCACCTGCACGCCAGCAGCAGCAGCAGCAGCAGCAGCGCAGCGCAGCGAGGATAGGCAGGGCTGCCCAGGCCCCCCGCCGGTCTGGGCGGGCGTGCGCCCGGCCCGCAGCAAGGGCCCGCGCACCCCGCGCACCCCCAGCAGCAGCAGCAC